CTCGATATTGACGTATCTAAGAGCAAAAGTGCAAGAGAGCAATATTGTTAACAATAAAATTTGCAACAATTTTTGTTATAAAAGTTTTCTTATAGCAAGCTCCGATTCTCAAGTGTTACCTTTAATAACTTGAAAAAGCAATAAATTCATCAAATTTTCATATTTTCGTATCTACCTCGATATTGACGTATCTAACAGCAAAAGTGCAAGAGAGCAATATTGTTAACAATAAAATTTGTAACAATTTTTGTTATAAAAGCTTTCTTATAGCAAGCTTCGATTCTCAAGTGTTACCTTTAATAACTTGAAAGAGCAACAAAATTGAGGTTCGTATCGATTTTACATGGATTATATACAATACAAAACATTAACGGCTAATAATACATAAGTAAATTCATCAGTAAATTTATAATTATTATCATTCATAACATTCTCTTACGTTCAATACGATAAGTTTTTAAATCCTACTATTACATATTATTACAGTATTTACTATAACTGTGTGTTATACGTAGTTAATGTTATAACCCTTATATGTAAATAAAATAAGTAAATTATAACACAACACAGATACACGAACTTATAAATGTACAATTAAAACGTGTGTCAAACGATACATGAAAACACGAAAAACGAAAAACAAGACCTGTTTTTACAGATATTACGAAATGTTACGATATGGCACTATGGTATTTATCGAAACCCATAATTCTATAAATTTAAATAAAATTAATTTTTAAGTTTACTTTAAGTATGGAAATATAGGTATATATTATTTTTCATTCATTATTTTATTTACATATAAGGGTTATTGTATTATAACACTAAACTCATAAAACCTTTATGACATTTCAAGTTCTAAGAAAAACAGTTTTTTCAACAAGAAAATCTCATCAAGGTAGTTGATCTTGATCCCCTGATCCATAAAAATCAAAATCAACGGTGTTAAAAAAAAACACATCGATAAAATCTTTCAATATTTATTTTTATGTAATTACAAAGATATCTTTAAGAGCAATACATTTTATTTAGTTTATTGATATCCTTTTCACTCATTCCAATTCTTTGTCCAATTACAGCTGTTGGATCCTAAACAAAAAACAACATCAAATTTTCGAATTCATACTTTATCGGGTTAAAAAATACTCTTACTTTGGGCACAATTGTTCTTTCACCATTTGCAGAGAAAGCATACTCTCCATAGTGCATTACACTATCGTAGTCGTAACCTTCACCAAAATCGGTTACTTTATCTTCTGTGTATTTGGCAAAGTTTGATTCAGTTCCTTGTTGAATATTATCCCAAATAATATCGACGAAATCGTCTCTATCGCTTGCACTTTGTTGGTGATAAAAACCAGCGGCGTGTAAAAATTCATGAACGATCGTTCCACTTCTTAAACAACCGGATCCGATTGCGCTTTTTTGTAAATTAATTGTTTGTTTCCCACCGAAACGACCAACGTATGACCAACATCCAGAATCTTCACCCTTTAAACACATCAAAATTGTATAAAAGATTAATTAAAAGATGAGTATAGATAAAGAAATAAAACTAACAGTAACGTAGATATAATCAATATCGCTTTCGACTTTCCTTCTTACGGTTACGCAACTATTTTCAGCGTAAGCATCTAAAGATGATTGAATCCATTCAGCTTCTTCGGCAGCTACAAGAATTAATTGATAAATTAATTGATTATGAAATAATAATTTTCTTACTAAATGCTGCATCTATTTCATATGGGATTACATTATTTGTCCATCTGTAATAGGTTTCAATAAGTCCATTTCTTTGATTATCGGTAAGAACCATATCTCCCTCCACTTGTCCACTCAATTCCCAAATATTTTGTTTATCATCTTCAGTCCATGTCTTCAAACGATGTACTATATTTAATACGTTTTAATTAATAATTTTTAGATTTTATTATGTTTTTACCTTGTTCTGGAGATAATTTTTTAACATATGGATAACCTAAAGTGAAATGGCAAAGAATTGCTACAAAAATTAGTTTTATCGAAAACATTTTGGTGAATAACCGTTTAACCAACAACTTGAGTTTATATATATTATAATTTTTTTATTTAATTTTATCAAAACAGGTGATATAAATTGCTGATATAGAAAACTATATCCACTTATTTCTAAGATAAATAGATTTAGGGGAATTAATTTGTTATTTGCACGTGGACATCAAGTGAATGATGCAATTATAGTTATCTAACATAAATAAGATTAAAGTTCTATTTGTGAACTCCTTAATAAATATTCTGCCCTCGTCCTTCAGGTTGAATAAGAATGTTTGGACAACTTCTGTATTAGCCATCGCCAAAGCCAAAAACAAACTCCTAACAAAGTTTCGAAAAGCTCAGCACGTGAAAGAGATCCCTCTCACCCGTAGAACTTTAATTTAACACGGCGATACCCGGTACAAGAACGAATTTAATCAGGTATTAGTTTTCTATTTAATTCGAGAATGGCACTCAACCTTCATTTTCTACTCCAATTATCACAATTAACGAATTTAATTTCCTTAAAACGACTTCGACGACTTCCTCTTCGGATGGATTTTAATTCCCTCATACATTTAATAAAAAAATTGTACTTTTTTGCTGATTATTTGATAAAAGTGAGTGCTTAATAAAAATGTAATATAAATCCTGGGATTTCATTTGCACGTGTTTCGCAATATATTCCTTTCAAAGATATCGACAAAAAAAATTTTATTGAGAAACGATTTATTAATGATAAAAAGGTTTGTTTAACATTTTAAAATAGTCGAAATAAAATAAGAAATAATCCATATAAAAAAACATAAAAAGCAAATTTTTGTTGATAAATCCAAAACGTACAACCTAAAAAAAAATTATTAGTAAATTTTTTGTTACAATGATTTTAATTATTACCTAAATAAAAGCCTTTTTGCTTTTGGTATAGACGTTGAAGATTCGTGCATAACATATTTCCGAATTCCCAAAATATAATTCGAGAAATAATCGTTCCAATTTATTGAGATTAGGTCGCAATTAAAAATTTCTCCATCATTTTTCGATAATTTTGAAGCGATCATTTTTATTTTATTATGTTCAAAATTCCATTTTTTTGATGAATAATAGTTTAATATATTTAAACCTTTCGAAACTTTTCTTTGGGTTCTTACAAGGCTATAATTTTAGAAATTTAATTTAAACAAATTATTAATTAATATTAATAAATTATAATTAACTTACAATGGTTTTATACGAATAATTCTAAATAAAAAATCAATAAAATAAGCCGGAACCAAATGGAACAAATAAACAATCAAAACATGACAAAACCTACAAGTTCTTAACGTTGCATTAGGATACCACAACATAATTGAGAATGGATTATTTAAAACATGCTTTTTAGAAAATTCTAAAGTTTCCCCCCAAGTTATTGAGTTGTCCTAGAAAGAACCAAATTTAGATTTAGAAAAAGGAGTTGAGAAGAAACGCTTACAGCATCCCCTGTTAAATTTATAATTAAAGGTTCTTTTAATAGTTCAATATTTGATAATTCTTTAGCGATAACGATCATTCTATTAATAGTTATATCAACAGGCACTAAATCTGCTACTGATTGAGCATTACATAACATCGACCTAATTATTCCTTTACCACAACCAATCATTAAACCTGTTGGACCGTTTAAATTGTCAACCCAACCAGGAAATGGTTCAGAAAGTGATGCTGTAACTGAAAGCAAACATTTTAATATATTTTTATTTGTTGCTTTTCTTTTGGCTATAACGGATACTCTTTTTCCCGTATTAATCCGTTATATCGAAGTTTTACTATACAGGGTGTCCCAAATTCGTTGTTCGCATAGGCTATCTCCGAAATTAAAAGAGATAGAAAAAAAAGTTGGTTAAATGACATGATTTTGCTCTTCATGATCGAGAAACTGGTAATGCTGAAAACTCGAAATACTATGATACAAATTGATGTTCTTAAATCATTACATTTTTGGGTAGTAGGCTTAGGTCGATGTTAAATTGTTTTAAAATTGTTTAAAATTATAAAAAATTGACAGCCATAAACAAAACTATCCTTAGCCAATATTTTTAGTTTATTGCCAAGATTTACAATAATAACAGAAAAATATACATTATGCTAAGAAGCTTTCCACAGAGTTATAGCTTGTACAGTAATTGACCTGTGATATATTTCAGTACAATGAACGAGAGCAGACTGTGCTCTAGTAGGAAGACCGCGGTAGTTTGAGACTTTGCTCAAACTCAAGCCATGGCATCTAGACCAGTCTAGAACAGTAGCAAGATCTCTATTAAGCCGCATTACCGCTGCTGGAAGTTCATCCACAGCTGTAGATGTATAAATTTGGAGGTCGTCTGCATATAGGTGAAAGTTGCACTTAATTATCTTAATAATGCTATTTATGAGGACGGAAAAGAGAAGTGGACCCAAAACACTGCCCTGAGGCACACTGCAACGGCTTCTAAATATAGATGAGGAGTCATGTACACACAAGAAACGATTAGAAAGGTATGATTGAAACCAAGCGACACAGCTCGGCGAAAAACCTACAGAAGATAGAATTGCCACCAACAAGCTATGGTCAACAGAATCAAATGGTCATCACAACCACATCTAATATCATCAGTAATTTTGATAAGTGCCGATGTCGTGCTATGATCTTGCCGGAAATTTCCCGGAATGATTGACGGGCGAAAATAAAACTGACCTATGCTAACATTCATCCACGCTATAATTGGGGTACAAAAGAAAACTGACTGTCCTTCACGCTATAATTAGGGTTTCAAAACAAAACTGACCTATCCTAACATTCCTTCACGCTTTAATTTGGGTTTCTTCACGCTTTAATTTGGTTTTCAAAAGAAAACTACCGGTCTTAACATTCCTTCACGCTTTAATTGGGATTTCTTCGTGCTATAATTGGGATACAAAAGAAAACCGGCAGTCCTTCACACTATAATTGGGGTTCAAAAGAAAACCGACATTCCTTCACACTATAATTAGTCTTTCAAAACAAAACTGACCTACCCTAACATTCCGTCACGCTTTAATTTGGGTTTCTTCACGTTTTAATTTGGTTTTCAAAAGAAAACTGCCGGTCTTAACATTCCTTCATGCTTTAATTGGGATTTCTTCACGCTATAATTGGGGTTCAAAAGAAAACCGACATTCCTTCACGCTATAATTAGGGTTTCAAAACAAAACTGACCTATCCCAACATTCCTTCACGCTTTAATTGGAGTTTCAGACTCACTTCCCAGGAAGCCTGATGATGAGGGCCGATAATGCCACAGCGGGCTATTCCTGCAAGNCTTTAATTTGGTTTTCAAAAGAAAACTACCGGTCTTGACATTCCTTCACGCTTTAATTGGGATTTCTTCATGCTATAATTGGGATACAAAAGAAAACCGGCAGTCCTTCACGCTATAATTGGGGTTCAAAAGAAAACCGACATTCCTTCACGCTATAATTAGGCTTTCAAAACAAAACTGACCTATCCTAACATACCTTCGCGCTTTAATTTGGGTTTCTTCACGCTTTAATTTGGTTTTCAAAAGAAAACTACCGGTCTTAACATTCCTTCACGCTTTAATTGGCATTTCTTCATGCTATAATTGGGATACAAAACAAAATCGGCAGTCCTTCACGCTATAATTGGGTTCAAAAGAAAACCGACATTCCTTCACGCTATAATTAGGGTTTCAAAACAAAACTGACCTATCCTAACATTCCTTCACGCTTTAATTTGGGTTTCTTCATGCTTTAATTTGGTTTTCAAAACAAAACTACCGGTCTTAACATTCTTTCATGCTTTAATTGGGATTTCTTCATGCTATAATTGGGATACAAAAGAAAACCGGTAGTCCTTCACGCTATAATTAGGGTTCAAAAGAAAACCGACATTCCTTCACGCTATAATTAGGCTTTCAAAACAAAACTGACCTATCCTAACATTCCTTCGCGCTTTAATTTGGGTTTCTTCACGCTTTAATTTGGTATTCAAAAGAAAACTACCGGTCTTAACATTCCTTCACGCTTTAATTGGGATTTCTTCATGCTATAATTGGGATACAAAAGAAAACCGACAGTCCTTCACGCTATAATTGGGGTTCAAAAGAAAACCGACATTCCTTCACGCTATAATTGGGGTTCAAAGGAAAACCGACACTTCTTCACGCTATAATTGGGGTTCAAAAGAAAACCGACATTCCTTCACGCTATAATTATGGTTTCAAAACAAAACTGACCTATCCTAACATTCCTTCACGCTTTAATTGGGATTTCTTCATGCTATAATTGGGATACAAAAGAAAACCGGCAGTCCTTCACGCTATAATTGGGGTTTAAAAGAAAACCGACATTCCTTCACACTATAATTAGCCTTTCAAAACAAAACTGACCTATCCTAACATTTCTTCACGCTTTAATTGGGATTTCTTCATGCTATAATTGGGATACAAAAGAAAACCGGCAGTCCTTCACGCTATAATTGGGTTCAAAAGAAAACCGACATTCCTTCACGCTATAATTAGGGTTTCAAAATAAAACTGACCTATCCCAACATTCCTTCACGCTTTAATTGGAGTTTCAAAAGAAAACTACCTGTCTTAACATTCCTTCACGCTTTAATTGGGATTTCTTCATGCTATAATTGGGATACAAAAGAAAGCCGACATTCCTTCACGCTATAATCAGGATTTCAAAACAAAACTGACCTATCCTAACATTCCTTCATGCTATAATTGAGGTTTCAAAACAAAACTGACCTAGCCTAACATTTCTTTAGGCCTTTTTGCCGATAGGATAAAAAAAAAGACGATAACTCTTTGGAGTTTTCGCCATTAGCAGTTTCTCCAAAAACGATCATGACATGTAAGTTACTTTTTTTCAATCTCTTTTAGGGTAGGCACACACGGTCGATTTTTAGTCGGCCGATAGTTTAGTCGATGGACATAAATGTATTAAGTTTAATGTAGGTGCGCATACAATACAACCGCAGATCAACTCGATTTTTTAATCAAAAGGAGTCCATGTGCACTTATGATTAAAAAGTTGTGCAACTATCGTACAACTGCAATAATGCCACAGCTTTATATTGAAGCGCACACACAGTCGATAGTTTAGTTGAGCTTTTTAGGAATGTAGGTTGCGCGCGCAACTTTAGTGAGAGTTGAAGTGTCTTCTCTAGTATAACATAAATCGATTACTACTTTAGTTTATCTCAATTATTTTATGATAAGTGAATTTATATCAAAAATTAAGTTAAATTATTTTCCGTTTTACTACCGCAGTTAATTATATACTACACTAAATACAGTGTGTTAATTAATTATCGTACCCGACGTCATCATTGCAAGTATGCAACCAATATCACAGTGCAATACGCATTATACGCAAATCGTGTATTGCAATACCAATATTGTGATATTGGTTGCATACTTTCAATGATGACGTCGGGTACGATAATTAATTACCACACTGTATATTAAAGTAATTCAATTACATTATTTTAAAAATTTGAATTATTTCCCGGTATTATTCAATATTCAATACAATATAAATACAAGTTCTTTCGAAATCGATATGTGTGTGCATACAACACGATTTATGAACAACTAAACAGTTTAGTCGGTTATAAATTGATAATGCATCGCGATTTCAAACCAATCCAACTAAACTGTTTCGTCGATGAATAATTGACCGTGTGTGCCTACCCTTAGTTTCAGAGATAACCCATGCGGACAACGAATTTGGGACACAATTATTGGAAAACTTAAAAAATTACCAATTGATGGTCTTAAGATTGCTATTTTCATAAACGAAGAATATTCCCCAACCAATTCCTCAGTAAGTGATTTTGTATAAGCGTAAGTGTTGGGATAACCATTAATTATATCCGGTGTTATTTTATTAAGAGTATTTTCATTGATCCATTGAACTAAATCTAACATTTTTCTGAAAAAAGAAATTAGAGTTTGTTATCTTAAAGTACTGATTTATTACCTTGGATTATGAGGAGCGGGATACATTTTTTCTTCTAAAATTTCTTCATTTACATGGCAATAAGATGTGGATACATGAATATAAACGGATAAATTTTTAAATCTTTTTGCTAACTCCAAAACGTTATAAGATCCACCTAAATTGGTGAGGACCGTTTCTTTAAGAGGTTCTTGAAATTTAACGTTTGCTGCCATGTGGAAAACAACATCGACGTCCTTTAGTAAGACAATTAATTCATCTTCGTTTATTCCTAAATTCGCCTTTTTCAAGTCACCGGATATAAAACGTAATTTATCAAGCGATTTTGGAGATTTCGATTTAAGCAAATCAAAAAGCTACAATTTTTAAATATTAATTAATTAAATTAACTAAATTTTTTATCTTACTGGAATTGAAAAATATTTTTTTAATCTTTCTTCAACTGATTGTCCTCGTTTCGATCGAATTAATATATAAATAATTTTTACATTCGTAGATCGTAGCAATTTTTCCACAAGAACTTTTCCCATCGATCCCGTTGCTCCTGTTATAAATATTTTCTTCCCATCGTACCATTGAGACACTGCAAAAGATATTTCAATATATTTAAAGATTAAACATCAAAGATAAATTTCAATATGTAGTCTCAAAAGACCAACTCTCTAACAGAAAAGTTATAAAATAAAAGAAAAATGAGTTAAAGCTCCGGCAAAGTTAATTAAGGAACTTCCGATACTTAAAGTTGAGGAAATTAAAAAAAACTAAGTAAAAACTTTTAACGGTCGGGTGAATTTTGCGAAACCCATCGAATAATTTTGCATACATTTTACTTAGGAATCGATCGTATGGTTATTGACGTCCAAATACTGTAATGGTTCCCTTGAAGAGTATCATGTTTGAATCTATTATATTTAATCGTTGAATAACACGCAATGATTATGGTTATTACACACCATCAATCAATTTATTAAGCAAAAAAAATCGTACAAAAAAGAAAGTGTATGTATTCGATGTGATTTTACCAGAGGAAACTGTAAATATTTTACAATGAAAGACGTCCGAGTAGACACGCCGTGTGGTGCATTTAGAAAGACACCAGACACAAACGCTTCAAGGAATTTCTATGAGAGCAATATTTTTCACGTCCACTCACGTAGACCTCGTTTTTATGACAGCTTGCCCTTGCACCGGAATAATAAGGCTCTTCTTGGTTCATTGTTGTAAACGTCGGAGTGGTTGCATTCAAAAAGATTGTGGTGTTAAGTCAGAAAATAAAAATAAAAATCTACCTTCACCAAATAACCACGTTATAACTCGATTGCATGTAGCGGTTCTACACAAAACAAACAACGTTGGTGATATAAGGGGTTGTTTTAGCATGAATTTCTTACCGTCAATTCCGCAGGTAATTGCCAACCAACGCCGACATCAATATTTATCCTTTCATTAAAGTCGGACAACTTTAAACCCATCGTTGACACCGCTCTGATTTGGCAAGATAAATAGTTGGGTCGTTATTAAATTTTGACTTAAATTTTCACTAATTCTTTTACTAGATTATTCACGACATGGGTAAACGGGAGGTAAACAACCCCTTGAAAGTAGAAGTCTATTGAGTAAATGCGGAACCTGTAAATCCGAGACTCAATACCCGGATACGAGAGTATTTTAGAGATCCTTATTTAAAATTAAAATCACTTCCCCCCTAACTTAATACACCAGTTCGAAGTCAAACATTAACTTTGAAATACATGGCGTCCACTCTATCGTGTATTCGGTACATTATGACGTAAAGTTTGAGCTTAGTTAAAAGGGTCAGGTACATTTTCTGTTCATTGAAATTAGGTATATTAAATATTAAAATAAAGAGTGATTTTTACTAGGATATACAGCGAGGTAGGAAAGTATTCATCATAATTTTTATGGCAATAAAAAGAAATTAAATGTCAAAATGATTACGAGTGCACAATTTATATCGATTTTAACCCTGCAGTAGTGGCGCCGTGTCTGAGAGATTCAATTTCCAGGATTGATTCTTGTTAAATTGCTTTTTTGATTTAATTTGGCCACTTATAATAATAATAATAAACCACTTTATTGACTGCAATCAAGAAAAATAAATAAATAACTGCATAAACTTTATGCAGTCAAACGGCGAAGTCCAGATAACAGTTTCCAAAGATCCTGTCATCTTCTAATCAACCAAGAGTTGAACGTTCAAAATAATAAAACAAAAACCTAGAACTGTTAGCGTATATCGTTTTCTACTCTTACGTAACTAATTATGATGAAACAAAGATGAAAAAATAAAAATTTGCTTCAACGTCAGAACACCGAGGCAACATAAACGTTTGGTTGTGATCTTTGTAATGTTAATAAAGCGTCGCGCAACTTAGCAATATTGTATGAAAATGATCTCTCAAAAAGAGCTGTTTTCTGAGCAGGTATGGTAATGGTGCTTTTATGTCTGAGGTTTAGATTATGTATGTCTATCCTAAAAGTGATTTTATTATACAAGTAAGGTGGTGTTTTTGTGATAACTCGCGAGGTACAGGAAATAGTATTTAAAACGGTTTCTAACGTTCAACCCTGCATTACTTATAGTATGAGATATAGTTTCGTGCTTTCTGATCCCCTAAATCAAACGAAGACAACATCTGAACTTTTTGAATGCGATGCAAATCAAATTCGATTAAACATGGTAGAGCTGCATATGCCTTCCTTATACGAGCAGTGACGTGAGTAGTGAAACGAAGATTAGAGTCAAACACCACACCCAAATTTCTTGTCTCCTGAGACACGACCAGTCGCTCACCATCCAATGAAACATTGACATTATCAGCTGGTAAATTGCCAAAGATAACTATTGTTGATTTGGTTGCGTTGAGTGTTAGCGCCAATTTGATGGAGTACTCCGAGAGTACTAGAAGATCTGCGTTTAATTTTGTACATGAGAAGGCAGTGTGCTCTCTTCGAAAAGTCAAATATAGCTGAATATCATCAGCGTGTACTGACGAGTGTTTAACACATTTGGGCAGTTGAGAGGTGTACAGAGTAAATAGTAGCGGAAAATTCCTCTCCCAATCTCACCACCTGGACTCGGCCAGAAAGGAAGCTGATTATAAGAGACACTGCCGACTCAGATATACCAACATAATGCAAGAGGGATAACAGCATTTGGTGGTTGACTTTGTCAAAAGACAAGACTTTGGAATGATCTGGAAGAATAGTGATAGGATTTGGTAAGGGCATTATAACAGCAGACTTGCAGACAAAGGTGCATATGTTAGCATACGCGGATGACATCGTGATCATGGCGAGAGAAGCGACGGAGATGAAAGATATGATAAAGACATTGGAAAGATATTTTAGGGGGAAGGGGCTGAAAGTGAATGTGGAGAAGACAAGGATGATGAAGTTTTGTAAGGGGGGAGAAAAAGAACAGAAAACTGGAGATGGGAGGGAAAAGAGATCGAGGAGGTTAGGGAGTATACCTACTTGGGGTATGTGTTCAGGGAAGACAACAGGGAGGGGTCGCATGCAAAAAAGGCGAATAAGGTGATGGGACAAGTATGGGGAAGAGAGTCTTTGGAAGGAATGTGGCAAAGAGGAAGATTATGTTTGAAGGTCTGGTTAGCAGTGTGATGATGTATGGAGCAGAGGTATGGGGATGGAGAGAGCAGGCAATGCTGGAGGACGTACAAGCTAGATACTGGAGATGGGTGCTTGGGGTGGCGAGAGAAACACCGAGGTATATAGTGAGGGAAGAGGTAAATGTGGATAAAGTCAGAGTGGAGGGGGGCAGGAGAGCAGTGAAATATGAAGAAAGAATAGAAGGGAGGCCAAACTGCGGGATCTTGGGAGAGTGTTGGAGGGAAAGATCAGATATGGGAAAGGAGACAGAGACAACTATTATAGACGAGCGGGCTATTCGGTAACTGAGATAAATAGTAGACGAAGGGTGGGTAGGGAGATGTGGAGGGAGTTGAGAGATAGGGACCGAGATGTGCAGAGACAGGAAAGAAGGACACAATAAAAGAGGGGAGGTATAACGAAAGGTACAGGGACATAATTACGGAGGGGCTGCCTAGATACTTATTATTGGAAGGAGATGAGGAAGGGAAGAAGTTGGTGGCTAGGTTCCGTTGTGGAAACGAGGAGAGAGCTAACGGATACTGGATGGCCGATGAGGAGAGGTGGTGTAGGCTATGCAGGGAGGAATGGGAAACGTTGGAACATATGTTGAATGGGTGCAGTGAGTTGAGGGAGGAGGAGTTGGACCGAGGGCAGATCTTAGGAGAGGGGGGAGAGGGGAAACGATGGATGAGAATGGTTGTGGGGGTGAGGAGACAAAGGGATGGATGAGGGGAGGATTGGGCCGAGGAGCCGATGGTATGGAAATGGAGGAAGAGGGTAGAAGGTGAAAATAATATACTAATGATATATATTAGGATGTATTAAGGGGAAAATTGTAATTATCAAAAACAATAAAATGCTTATTATTATAACAGCAGACTTCCAGGTATTGGGAGATACTGATTGCTCAAGGCAGGAGTTCACGATGTGCACAATGTATGGCAATAAGCCGGAAGGCATTTTCTGATAAATATGATATTTACTTCATCGGTTCCAGCAGCTGTCGATTTGATTCCGTTTAATGCACTTATTATTGTAGGAGTATCAACTGTTTTAAAAGAAAACCAGTCATGAGATTCAGCAAAAAGAGTATTTGTATTATAAAACGTAAGTAAAGCAGTATCTACACCAGTATGGCCGACAGATTTTAAGAAATGATCATTAATTTCATCAATGATCCTAATATTGGGCGTTATCCATGGAGTAAAAGGTTTAGTAGTTCTAAGAAGACGCACCGGTGCGTGTAGATTCAACAGTATCAATAGATGAGAGTTTAAGAAGTTTACTTTTTGATTAATATCATTCATATGATAGATGTTATGAAGAGGTAAACAAGCGAGATCACGCCTTAAGTCGGAGTCATCCATGCCAGATATAATCCCGCACAATCTGACCGTCGGAGTGGACTTCAAGCCTGAAAAGACTATATCACATTGGATTAGGTTATGGTCTGAAATATCTAGAGGCCTGTTCATCTGGTTTGTGCAACTCTCTGAATCGTTCGTAATTAAACAATCAATCAGAAAAACCGAAGTGGTGGTGGTTCTAGTGGGTAGATTAATTACCTGAACAAGAGACAATTCGTCTAAGAGTCCATCAAAATCCAACATATTTATATTTATAACCCCTATACAATACAGAAAGTCAGAGACACCCTGCATATGACACAACGCTGAACCCAGCTTGTCAAGGAAAGCAAACACAAGGTGCACGCCTTAAGAGGCACATAAATGCTTACTCTTAAACCATTGATATATTACAAAGATTTCTTTCAGCTATAACTTAGTAATGAAATATTTCAAAAATCAACGGATTAATTTATAACATCCCTTACCACACAATCACTTTGGTGGGAGTTTGTGAAAAACTTTGACTTTACAGCTATAATGCTTTGATAATCATCTCCTGGGTCAAGGTCATATCAAGGTTTGTAGAATGTTTCTAGTTTTAGTTTTTCATTAGCGCTGTCACTAGAACTAACACAAGAACTAGAATCATTCGGGTTTAGCCGTCTTGAGAGACGTGCGGCTAAACCCGAATGTTTCTAGTTCTAGGTCTAGTGTTAGTTCTAGTTTTACACTAGCACTATCACTAGAACTAACACTAGACCTAGAACTAGAATCATTCGGGTTTAGCCGTCTTGAAAGATGTGCGGTTAACCTGTATTAGTTCTAGTGGTAGTGCTAGTGTAAAACTAGAACTAACACTAGACCTAGAACTAGAAACATTCGGGTTTAGCCGTCTTAAAAGACGTGCGGCTAAACCCGGATGTTTCTAGTTCTAGGTCTAGTGTTAGTTTTAGTGACAGTGATAGGTAGCGCTAGTTACCATAAGATCTCACTATGTTGCATATTTTTATTGCGCTAAAATTAGAACTATCATTAGTACTAACATAACACCTATAACTAGAATCATTCGGGTTTAGCCGTCTTGAAAGATGTGTGGCTAAACCCGAATGTTTCTAGTTCTAGGTCTAGTGTTAGTTCTAGTTTTACACTAGCACTACCACTAGAACTAATACAAGACCTAGAACTAGAATCATTCGGGTTTAGCTGTCTTGAGAGATGTGCGGCTAATTCC